CTAATGCAAACTAAAAATAAAAGAATAAAAAGGAAAAAGAAAAGGTGCAAAAAAGAAAAAAATACAAAGAAAAATAGAAAAGAAAGAATAAGAATATAGTAAAAAAAAAGAAAATATAAAGTGACTTCCCCCTTCACCACAAGTATAAACAATTCTAGTAACTTATCACCTCCTCTAAAAATACAACAAATGATCTCTTCTTCCTATATCCCATCTCTTATCTATAAACATATCCATAAAACCTCGTCATTTCAGTCCTGATATCAGCAAAAGTCCATTAAGGGTTACCAGAGATAACAACATATCTATTTTAACCTTGATCAAATAAACCAACTTTATATTCCTTCCTTTTACTACTAACAGTCTTGATCTTTAGTCCCTTTAAATAATGTCCTAGAACTTGTTTTCATTTTTTCTTTGTCCCTTCTCACAAAATTCTTCAAAGCTTTTACAAGCCTCTTTTGTAAATCCAATATAAGAAAATTACCCAGGTCACTCTCTTGGTTTGTTTATTTGTATATCCCTTTTAATTATTAAGACATCAGTCGGTTTCTTTTATATGTCCAGTGTAGCATCATTTTCCATGTCAGTCTTGTAACCTGTCATTTTAAAATCCACTTTCAAATCAGTCTCAATCATGTCAGGTAATACTTGTTCCTCTTCCATAGCATCTTTTAAACAGTCTATCTATAGAGACAGACATTCTAAAATTAAATTCTGATTCCACTGTTCAAAAATATCCTTCAATATGTCAAGTGTTAAAATATTTTACTTCATTCTGTATTAAGTCGAGTTTGAGTGTTCTTCACCTTTAATTGTAATCTTTAGTTCCTTCTAGTTCCCTCTAGTGTCCAATTTTTAAAGTCTTATCTTTAAAAAAAAATAATTAAAAACAAAACCATTTTCCCATAGGAAGGATTCTTTGTAATTAAGAACCCAGTGTCCTTTTAAAGGTGCTGATCACGGTTTGAGCAAGACGGCTATTCCCTCGTCTCCCAGAGCTCTAAGCTTGCTGGAGACTGCTGTCTTGCAGTCTCCTTGTGAGAAGCAGCTCTCTGAAGCACTTGCGGGCAATCTCAAGTCCTGATCCGAAGAGGAATTACAAAGAGCCAGTCTACTCACTGGCTCTTCATTCTGCCATGGTCATCAGCTCTGCGTTTTGTGGAACTGTCTTCTGTTCGCCATTTCATCCCCGGAAGTGCCAGTTTCTTGCCATTCTTGTAAAGTTCTCTCTGAAATTCTGAGTAGGGGCATTTTAAATAATTTATCTTGGGTAGTACATTCATTTAATAATTACAGTTGATCCTAACCAAGATACCTTTAAATTCCTCCACCTTCAAGGTTTGATTTCTTGCCATAATTTAACATAGTTTTTTAAAATATATTTCTTGATTGTTGACCTTCCAAAATTGGCCAACTTGTACATTTGCCATTTGTCTTTCACTACACACTGCTGACCTGCTTTGTACATATTCAGTAAAACCAAATTCCTTGATTATCTCAGCACATTCCTAAGCCTCAATGCTGAGCAAATTCACATGGAATCTAAAGCAATCAAGATCAGACATCCTATGAAATCTTTTCTGGTTTATTAACTGAAGCTGCTTCTTCCTTATAATGCTGCTGCCTTAATTATATACATTTCTGCCTACCTCAGCAATCTCCAGTGTAGAGCCAAATTTAATTTATTTTCTCTTTTTGCAAATGGGAAGCAGATGTGGATCAAATCCTTGAAACAATTCACTGAATGTGTTCAAGAAACACATATCCCAGGGAAGTTAAAAAAAAAAAAGTGATTTTAAATCAGTTATTAAACTGATAAGCTAATGGTTTAATTTAAACAATCATTATTAAACTGATAAGCTAATGGTTTAATTAAAATGATCATAGTTACTAAACTGATAAGTTGTTTAATTAAAACAATAGTTTAATTATTGTGGCTTTCAAATACTTAATATAGAGCAGTAGCTTATTGAGTATTGACCTGGTTCAAAAGCTTGGGGAATCTGGCTTGAACATGAGGGCAGCCGGCTGACTTAGTAAACATAAGGCTTTTAACAATGAAAGAGAAAGAAGCAAACCGTTAAAGGATACGTGTGTTGAAACACAGAATCACATTGGCAGTTCAACTTTTGCCTGGAATGCAGACAAAGTAGTTTTTCCAATTGCTTCATGATTTGTAGAAGACATTTGAAGAGAAAAAGAGGGCAACTTGCAAGCTTTTTGTAACAGGCATGGGGAAAAAAGAGCAGAGCAGGTGATTTAGAGTAACCAGGTATCAGAAAAGAGTAAAGGCTCGGGAAGGAAATATGTTTCAGTTATTTATTAAAATAAACCCTCAAGTTTTAAGGCAGGAGAACTGGGTTCATTAATGATAAAATCCCAAGAGGTGTCTTGAAGTAACAGGAGCAAGTATCAGGAGGGGGTTGAGTGTCTGATATGTTCTCTTCTGAGGATTCCAGACCAAGAAAAAGTCCTATGGGAAAGAGCACCCAAGCACTGCTTCTAACTAGTACTATTTCTCAGGCTCCCTGCTTCTAATCACAGAAGAAAGGGATTTGGATTAAGCCCTAAGGAACCAGGAGTCACACAACAAGGGCTGGTTTACTTCATATCCAGACACAAACCTGTTTAGTTGTATTTACTTTATTGGAAATTGAATGTACAATCCAGAGGATATCTAACATCCAATAAGACATTCATTTTTCCCACTCCTCTTATACTTCATTCGCAACACCAATTTCTGTGCATTGGCAAAACAAACAGGCTATCTGAAAAAAAAGTGTTCCTGCTAGAGCTCTCTCCCAGGTGTCCATACATCGGAAGCTGTGTGACCCCTTTGGCAGGCTCCAGTCCAAAGATGATTTCCCCCAGAAAAATGGGGAACCTCCAAGTAACGTAAACCAAAGGGCAGCAACAGGCAGCAGAGAAGCCTGCAGACTAGCACCTCCTTTGTGTAGTGTGGGTGGGCCAGGAGGATGGAGAGGCCACTAAAAGGTTTTAGCCTTGCGCCTCTGTGTGATCCAAAGCAGGGCAGAGAGGATAGTAGTGATGGCTCCCAAAGTTCCAAAGAACAACAGGTATGGAAAATTGCCCTGAAAGGCAAAGACAAATTAGAAGGCTTTTCCTAGCTTGATCAGCTCCCAAAGGTTCCTTTAATCAGCCTCAAAGGCCTGAATCAAATGGGCTAAAACCCTAGCACAGCCTTGTTGGGTGTTTGTTTCCAACAACTTTAGCAAGAAGGAGAAGGCAGCCCTAATGCATAATCTAATTATTATTCCCAGTTGGAGGAAGCTTTCTATTCAATTAAGAGGCCTTCCTTTGGACTTTCCATCCCATCATGCCCAAGAGCCATGTCTCCTTGTAGCAGAGAAAAAGGACATGCAGAATAAATCCCATCATAATCCAAGACCAGCTCACCTGGCGCAAGCATTTGTAGCCATGATATGGATCTACACAGAGGCACTGGGACAAGCCAGGTCCATCAGAAGTACAAAGCGAGCCCTCTGGGCATAGCGAATCTGTAGAGAAAGAGGGGAAAGGGTGAGAAAGATATCCTCTCACTTTTCAGAACTCACTCCATGACCAGTCCAACTCACAGCTTCTGGCCTTTAGTTTTCTTTCTACATCAGTCTCCCCAGACTATTAACTACAGTGCCATCCAAGCTACCATTTGTGCAGCTGACCTTATCCTGCCTTCCTTGGTCCTTTCTGCCAAACCCACCTATTCTTGTCTTCCCAGACTCAAGACTTGCTGACCTCCCTGCCCTCACTTCAGGCCTTTTGCCCCCTACTACCACTGATTATATCTTATCATACAAGGTGCTCAACATAGCAAATATATATGCTCAAACTCTCAGGATTAGGACCAGCCCATAAAATGCTAGTGCCAAAACCAAACGTAGGTTCCACTGGAGAAATATGTAGAAAACCTATCTCCTTGCACAGCTGCAGTTCACTTCTGAAAAATATTTGTATACAATTTTCAGAAATAACAGCTAACTGAGAACACTAATCTCATGCAAAAGAATTTTCTGCTGGATAGCCCTCCACAGCCCAAGGCAATTATGCTACCTACTTCCAACAGGGCCATCCAACATCCTACTCCTAGTAATAATTATTAAGAGTCACATGTTATCAGTGAAGAAACAGATTCGATAAAATGGAAAAAAATAACATCAAACAAAATCTCAATAGCCAAATTCAGAAACATTCAAATGCAATATCATGTAGTAATCTATGGGGCTGCCTTGAACATGACCTAAACTGCAGTGGGCCAAAATGAATTGGGTAGGCTTTTAGCAGGTAAGAACCACTGCTGTAGAATTAACACCTGTACTTCAGTTACTGCATTGGCTATTAAGAGGCTTCCAAATCAACATTCTGATTTTGACCTATACAGCCCTTTATGGTGCCACCTCCTCCAATATGATTGTGTCTGTCCCTTATGCTCTTCCAGGGAGGAGATGCTGACGGTCCCATTCCTGACAGAGTTTCAGGAAGTCTAGCCCTGGAGTCAACCATTCTCTTTGTGGAACACTTTGGCCCCAGAGTTTCACCAGGCATCTTCTTTACTGTTTTTTCATAAGGCTGAAAATAATTCTGTTGGAGTGGGCTTGTGGGAGGTAACCAAAGTACTTTTAGGGATCCTCATCCCCAATCCCCACCTTTCTCCATCTCTTCTTAGATGACTACAGCCCAAGCACACAAGATGTTGCCTACTATGTGCATACCAAATCCCCCTGAGCCATTGCAGGGGTTCCTCTGGTCTTGACAGAGACGGTTGTTCCCTTGTATGGTGATATTTTTCCACACTTCACTGCCTCCAGGACAGTCCAGCTTCAGGGGCAAAGCACTGGGGATCAATAGAAATTCTTATCAGAAACAGGTGAGAGGCAGATACAATAGGATTCCCTCCATAAATAAATAAATAAATAAAGCCTCAAAACCACACCCCAAATGCCTATGTTGTGAAAATGCACATAGCCAAGAAAAGCTTTTGGATTTCTGCTGAATCCCTTTCATGAGGAAGCGACATTAACATTTGAGTTATCTCAAATCAGCAACCTCCATTCATTTTAAGCCTGCCATCATTTACAATACTCACAGGGTCTGCAGCTGAGTGAATCCTTGGAAACTGCCTTCAGGGAGACTTTCCAATGGATTGTCAGTAAGATCACTGCATTAAGAATAAGATGGTGAAGAAAATACATTCAATGCCAGTGTTGTCCTTCCTCTATGCTGTGAATGATGTTTAGTGTAGTACATCACCCTAATGTCATGTCTGCTGTGATGGGACAATTCACATTTAAAAACAAGAACCTCATGTTGAGGCTTTCCTTCCTTCCAGCTTGAAGACAGATATTACATGTACAATTCAAATGCCTGAATATAGAATTCACCTTCTAACAACTGCTTGTACAAAAAGAAACACACATTTCATAGCTGTTTTCAAGACAAATGTAATGCCTAAATATATCAAGGCCTGACATACAAACCATTTCCAAGCATCTGAGCACAAACACATGCAGAGGCTGGAACACAATTACTGCTGGTGTTTCAGAGAGGGAGGCAAGAACCCACAAGCTGCCTTTTGTCTCCCTCAGCCTCAGTGTCCAGCATGTATAAAGAGCCCCAAAGAGCTATACTATCAGAAAACACCTTTCAGTTCTATGTCTTGTATGGGGTAATGGAATGGACTTACATGACGAAAGCTGTGCTCACTTCCTGGAAGCTGGAACAGAGCCGATGTAATGAGCAGTTCCCAAAATCCAACCTATAAATGAAGAGGGAGAAGCAGGTATCTTAATTCTACTGCAAAAGACTGGGTAATGTTATTTTTTTTATATTGGGAGTAATGGAAGAAATGTTTCACAATAGGTAGATAGGGCTTATCATAAACCTCAATTATGTAATATTATACTCTGTTGGGCTTTTTGAACAAGTGCAGCGGTCAATTACACTTGTTGATGGGTTCATGCAACACACTTAACCTGGGTCAAGAAAACGTAATTGCTGTGTTCATACAATACGTTACACCAAGCAAATAAATATATTAAAATGGAACAAAGAAAGAAAAATAAACATGCTGAATCCAACAACCCAACCCATCTTAACATGCTGTGCAAATCCAGATATTGGATGACATATCAAATCTTCTAGAGGCTTGTAAAGATTGACTGCTGAGTGCAGGAGCTTCTCCAAGAATAAAAGGCAAAATATCACAATTACTTTATTTTTTTTTCCTCATGGCAGCTACCCCCCAATTTTATCCTTCACCAAAGTTTAAATCCAATCTCCTAACTGTCATCCAACAAATGCTGTTGGAAAAAAAATATTCCAGGATGATACTATATCATAAAGCTACTTCATACCATAATAAATTATTATAATTGAATAAATCAACCTGGGAAATTGAAATGATAAAGCAGGGGTACACTACTTAACATTTAACTTCAGCTCACATTAGCCCTGCCAGCACAGCCAATAGTAAGAGAATGTGGAAATTATCATTCAGGTTATAATAGTACACTGATTTTGTTCTAATTAATATTTTTCAGATTACTGTCCTAGGGCTCATATATAGTAAGGTGCTCAGCAATTCAGGCAAGATAAAATTAGCATATCAATTCAATAACCATATATTTAGAGCTCCCAATAACCAAACTGTATTTACTTTACTTCACAGCAGCTTTGCACCACCCATTATAAAGACTACCACCCATTCATAAGACTCAAGATGGGATTCAGTAAGCCTTAGCATAAAACAATTAAAATCCCATCAATTTCACCCCCATTAAAATCACTTTAAAGTTAAATTAAAACTAGGTGCCCAATAAAAAGTAATGCCAGAACCGTAAAAGGCAAATACACCCTAAGGCAGCATTTTCCACAGAATGGGAGGACCTGCCTTGGATTTCACACCCCTTACTTCCTAGGGGAATTTTTGCAATGCTGTCATATTTTCTCCCACCTAAATAATATCTAGCTATGCTACTGTTCTCTCCTCGCCACCACTCCAAAAAGAAAAAGAAAAGAAAAACAAAGTTTTATTTTGAAAACAGCAGCAACAATCTTGTTTTTAGGAAAGCTTCTCAAACATTCTATACATTAAAGTTCTCATAATATACTTCTTATACTTTTGATTTTTTTTTTAAATGAAGTAAATAAGCCCTTCCTTAATCAGATCACCATCTCCTGAGGGCAGTGGAACAGTTTAAATACATTTCTGGACACTGCATCTTGAAGTCCAACGCCAGATACACTGAACAGGTGCCAGAGAGGCTGCTACTGGAATTGCCTTGTTACCACAGTTAAGTAAAAGGCAGTCTACCCGGCCTCAAGTATTACAGAACATATTTCGTTAGGCTGCGGGCTCCAGGCCTTACGTCAGGCGCTGAATTATTCTCCCGAAAAGCGAAAGCGGAAAACAGCTGTTCTCGCGTTACGATTCCGGGACGATTTGTTGCGAATGGCGTTTGATCTCAGAACTTGAATAACCCCACACGGGGAGGAGCCCGGCTAAAGGCCAGAAACGGGTCGCGTCAACTCACCCCAAAACAATCTTCTGGTCCCCCTCTAAGCAGCAGCGGCCCCGCCGTACCCTGTCCCACCGGGAACCGCAGAAAACGGCTGCTACGGACTCGTTTCGCATAGGCCCAGCACAACAGCCGCAGACCTGCGAAGAGAAGGCAGACGGAGGCTAAGAAAGACCCCTCCCATAAATCTCACCCCCCCCGGAGTTCCCAGGACAGGCCTCCCCGTTACCTGCTCTGACGCTTCTACCTGGAGCGCGGCGGCCGACGGGACCATCAAACACAGGAACAGCTGCGGAACCCAGAGCCAGCTGGGCGCGGCCATGATGCGTCACGTGATCGCAGGTTTGCAGTCACATGAATCTCTGC